AAAAAAAAAAAAAAAAAAAATCAGGAAAAGTTTGTCAAGAATTGAAGAGAAAGATTTAAGATACCCTGAGGAAGGAAGGGGGCAGTATTTTCTGATTGACGAGGAAAGGAAGAAAGACTGGAGGGACAGGAGACAGAATTAAGACTGAGATTGGAAGTTAGAAAACCAAGATATAAAGCAAAGGGAGGCAACAGCTTGGGGAGGGCCGGAGAACTCTTCAGCAGATAACAAATGTCAAAAAAGTGCAGTCGTTTCTTAAGGAGATCGCAGGTGCCCTAAAAGAGACAACTTATTCTTCCAACTCTCAAAGACTTCAAAATGGAATGATGGATTTTTACTTAATGTTAAAGTATTCCATATATCTATAAAAATGGAAATACTTTAAAAATTACTTTCTAAGCATTTCAAAATCACCTTAGCATAGTAATAGTAGCACATTCTAGTAGTCAGGAAATAGGGGTTATAATCTTGTTTCTGGAAGAGAAATTAATAAATAGCATGCTAACGAAATTAATATATGCATAATCACACGCAAGTACTGAAATGTGACTAAATAAATGTTTTTGGAAATTGTGAAAGAAAATACTGTTTTTCAGGTGGGCGTGGTGGTCTATGCCTCTAATTCCAGCTACTTGGAAGGCAAAAAGAATCAAAGTTCAGGCCAGTCTGGGCAGTTTAGCCAGACTCTTAAGAATTAAAAAGGGCTGTCGATGTACCTTAGAAGTAGAGTTCTCGGCTAGCAAATGTGAAGCCCTGAGTTGGATCCCAGCACCAAAAATTAAAAATGGAAGAGTAGCCGGGTGTGGTGGCACATGCCTATAATGCCAGCACTCTGGGGACTGAGGCAGGAAGATTGATGTGAGTTCGAGACCAGCCTAGGCTACACAGTGAGTTCCAGGTCAGTCTCTACTACATAGTGAGCCCCTGTCTCAAAAAACCAAAAAGAAAAAAAAAAAAATGGAGGAGTAATAGCCACAGAAATAAAGGGCAACCCATAGAGCTGAAAACCTGTTAAACTTTACCATGGGTCATGTGACATCTTGTGAACTGGGAGGTGAATTAAAGTAGGAGGACATCAAAATATATATGCTTCATCTGAGAAGGCATTAGAGGATCTGAGTTTTGTCTGGGCCCCTAATTACCATTTTTCCTATTCTATCATCTATTCCTGTCTCTATAGTCATTGCATGTGATTTATCTATATTATAGTGGAGAATAATAGAGATGTTCTTGCTTTTGTAGATGTCACACTCATTCTTTTGACTATTTCTAGCCCTGCCTCACTTTCTCCCTTGGAATTGCTTCTGATTGCTGTATGGGTTTACAAAATCTCAGGAGCATTCACCTCAGCTGTAGGCTCATGCTTTTGGCATATAGGCCTTCCTCTAAGAGAACCTCAGATGGGAGTAGAGGGGAAGGGAAGTAAAAAGAATTCAGATGTGTTATGTACATGCACCAACTCCCCATGAAGGATGTAATCATTATGTACCACAAATATGTACTCATAAACATTTTTAAAAATTAAATAAAAGAACCTCCTCTTGGTCCAGCAAATCCCTGATGTTTGGCTGCTCCTTACACTTTGCAGGGTCCATGCTTGTGATTCTCAATGGAGAGTGAAAGCACAGATTCAGAATGAAAACCAGCCCCCATCGGCCACTGATTCTCAAGAGACGGAGGCTTCCCCTTCCTGTTCAGAATGCTCCAGCTGAAACATCCAAAGAGGAATGTAAGAAACCCCCTGCCCAAAAGGAGCCTAGCCAAGCACCAGCCTCCAAGGAGGTGGCAGAATCCAGCTCTTGCAAGTTTCCAGCTGGGATCAAGATTATTAACCACCCTACCATGCCCAACACACAAGTGGTGGCCATCCCTAGCAGTGCTGATATCCAGAGCATCATCACAGTACTGACTGCCAAAGGAAAAGAGAGTGGCAGCAGTGGGCCCAACAAATTCATCCTCATCAGCTGTGGGGGAGCCCCAGCTTGCTCTGCAGGACCGCAGCCTCAAGCCCAAAACAGCAGTGATTCCAAGAGTGCAGAAATGTTCACCGAAAAGTCGGGACCAAAGACTGTAGCCAGGGATGTGACTGTTCCTAGACTACCTGGAGCTCCTCCAGGGCACCGTCAGGAGCGCTGTGGTATGTGGTCTGCAGGGCACGAGGGAGGAGCCTGGTTTTTCCTCTGGTGGCAAGGCTTGTAGGAGTATTGTTGCCTGCTACAGACAGACACGCAGCCTGAACCCAGGGAAAGTCCTCATCCTGAAGCCTTGACAGCCTTTTTTATTTTTAATTTTATTGGTACATTTTAGATATCCAATTAGATAACATTCATCATATGGAATTTGTACCTGTACATAGTATATCTTCATTCTTCTTTTTTCCCCTTTCCCTCCTCCCCTTCAACACTTGACACAAAGCCTTTGGACACAGTTGAAAGAATTACAGTTAAGATTTAGCATTTCTATTGCTTTCCTTAAACGTATTGGAAAGGGGTTTGTTCATCATTTGTTTATGTTTTCCATTGGCCTTATAAGGAAGTTAATCTTTCTACATCTTAATAAAGGAACAAAGTGAAACTTGAAGAAAAGTGGCTATTAGCCTTTATAGAAGATTGCCCTTTTTTTTTTTTTTTTTAAGATTGCGTTTATTGCTGTCTAAGGTTCGATGTGGCTCATACCAAAATGCAATTTGAATTTGGTGTCTGAACTTGTCCTGAACCCCCAGTGGGGCAGAGTAACAGCCACAATAGATTCCCCATGTGTTCCCTGTCCTAAGGGTGGGTGATTCCTGACCTCTGGCTGTGCTGGACCTGTGGGCATCTGTCAGGCAGCTAAGTGGGGTCTTGGCTTATTTCTCCTCTAGCTGGCGGTGAGGCAGTGGGCTGCATTCTGGACAGCAGCCTGACTAACATTCAGTGGCTCGGGAAGATGAGTTCTGATGGACTGGGCTCCTGCAGCATCAAGCAGGAAGTGGAGGAGAAGGAGAACTGTCACCTGGAGCAGAGTCAGGTCAAGGTGAACTATTCTGTCACTCGCCAGGGCATCTGAGAGAGTGCAGGTGTTCCTAAGAAGGGACATGGCTCACATGGCCTGCTGGATAGCATTTCTAAGTCCTGACATCAGTGCTCCACTCAGTGCTATTCTGTAGGACTTTGAGCTATTTTCCCACCTGGGATCTTTTTCTCCCCTATTTGTGGCATTTCTTTGAGGACAGATTTCCTTGGCTTTTTCTACATTGCTCTGAGCAGTGCATTTGGTATTCTGCCCTAAGTAGGTCCTCCACAGGTATTCAGGAAATGATTGTAACAAATCTTAGTTTGGGAAGCTGTCTGAACTTTACAGAGGCCTCCCAAGAGTGTGAATGGAATACAACATTTCTCGGGGGGTGAGGGGTCCCGGGGATCAAACTTGGGTCCTTACACTTGTGAGGCAGATGGCAGTACCACTGAGCCAAATCCCCGGCCCCTGGAACACAGTATTTTTAACAGTATAATTTTACTAGATGATATACTGTAATATTAATAGCAAATGTGATTTATTTTAGATGCTTCTAAAACAATCAAAATTGAGCTAAGCCAATTGTGTAGTCTGGGTTGGTTTCTGTGTTGTTCTTTATAGTTGCCAATATGACAGATCTACTGGTAGGTTCTCTTGTATACACCCTTTAGCCATTAACCAACAACCTTTAAAAATGAAAATGTAAGCCAGGTGTGGCAGTGTACACTGGGAGGCTGAGGTGGGGGATTTACAAGTTTGAGCCCAGCCCCGGGAATTTAGTAAGACCCTGTCTCAAAATAAAAAAATAAAGGGCCAGGATATGTAGCTCAGCACAAAGACCCTAAATTCAATCTCCAGTGCTGCCAAAAAAAGAAAAGGAAAGAAAATGTTAATGGTGGCTCACATCTGTAATCCCAGCACTTAGGAGGCTGAGGCAGGAGGATTGCAGGGTCAAGGCCAAGTCTGGGCCACATAGCAAGTTCAATGCTAGTCTGAGCTATATAATGAGAACCTATCTCCAAAAATGTGAAAATTTAGCTGGGCATGGTGGCACACGCCTGTAATCCTAGCACTTGGGAGGATGAGGCAGGAGGATCGCCATGAATTCAAGGCCAGCCCAGAATACATAGTGAGTTCAAGGCCAACCTGAACTATATAACCATATAATGAGACCCTGTCTCAAAAAAAAAAGTGAAAATTTATTTGGATATATACATCAATAAATACTTAAATATACAATTACACTTTGTAAAGTTATATTTCAGCTTTTTAAAATGTGAATGCTGGGCATGATGGTACATGACTATAATCTCAGCATTCGGGAGGCTGAGGCAGTAAGATCACTGCAAGTTCAAATCCAGCCTGGGCTACATAGTGAGACCCCATCTCAAAAAACAAAACAAAATGTGAATGATCAGCTCTTTGGCCAAGATTTAGGCAAATGTGGGCTTTGATTTCCCCAAACTCTTGAGAATATTTCTCTCATACGCACATTCAAATGAGATGGATTTATTCATATTACATCACGAGAAGGAATGGAACTAAGACCCAGGTCTCTTGGTCTGCAAGTCTGAAAAATAGACGTGGAGTAGTATAAAACTAGTGTTTTGAAGACCATAATGTATGTCCCAAGTAGAGCACTTTCAGTTGAAGAGACTGGACTTCCCTTATTATTAGATAATACCTTCAACAAAACAAGTGATGATGGAGAAGTGGTCAGTTCCTTACTGGCTTCTGTCCAGCCTACATCATCGCTAAGACCCTCCCTAGTCTTAAAAGTGTGTTCCACTATGGACAGCAGTCTCAGGCGAGTTTGTGTTTAGTACATTTCTGGGAAGTAAAGTTTTCCTAGGGCTGTTCTCAAGGGGCCATGGTCGTGGGTGCATAGTTCTCACGAGCTCTTTGTCATTCCCTCTCTCTTTCCCTTTGGCTCTTGTACCCCTCAGGTGGAGGAGCCCTTGGGAGCATCAACATCCTGGCAGGACTCTGTGTCTGAGAGGCCACCCTACTCTTACATGGCCATGATACAGTTCGCCATCAACAGCACTGAGAGGAAGCGCATGACCTTGAAGGACATCTACACTTGGATCGAGGATCACTTCCCCTATTTTAAACACATTGCCAAGCCAGGCTGGAAGGTAATCTGTCCCATGATACTGAGAGTTGAGGTCACTGCAGCTCAACAGAATGGTGCCCCGGGAAAGCAGTTAAGTGCAGAGAATGCTCAACTGCTAAGCATATGCATCTTTTGGGTTGTGGCTCAATCCTGCTGAATCTAGGCAAAATCAATTAAAGTTCTTTATCTTTTACTAAAGAAATTAAAGAAAAAGAAGCTGAACCTCATGATCCCAACATTCATCTAAACCATCATATTTCTAGTGGTCAGGGCTTTTCTTCACTTTATACGTCATACAGTTGGTTGATCAGTGTTGGAACTATAAATTAGGTATTTTTTGCTTGTTTTTGCTTGTTTATTGGTATTTTTTGAGACAGTCTGGCCTTGAACTCACTCTGTAGCCCAGGCTAACCTCAGACTCACAGTGATCCTTCTGCCTCAGCCTCCTGAATGCTGGAATTACAGGTGTGTGCCATCATTCCTGGCACAAATTAAGTCTTTTGACTCAACTGCAAGCCAAGGGTGGTTTGTTTTTGTTTTATTTTCCCCACAGTAAATCTCTTCGCACTCTTACATCAACTTAATTTTCTACTTTATCTCACCTACCTATTTTGCTATTGACTGTTACTTTACAGTTTCATTCTACTTTCCTAGCCCTCCAAGACCTTCTCCCCGCCTTCTCGTGCTGAGCATTAAAACCAGGCACATTAGGCAGACACTTTACTACTGAGCCGTATTCCCAGCCCTATTTATTTATTTATTTATTTAGGACACAGGTCTCCCTATGTAGTTCAGGCTGGGGTTGAATTCTCTGTGTAGTCCAAGGTGGCCTCAAACTCAGAGCAATCCTCCTGCCTCAGTCTCCTCACCCAGCCCTTTTTACTTTGAGACAGATTTTCGCTAAGTTACCCAGGCTTCTCTTGAACTTTCAATCCAGCTGCCTCAGCCTCTTGAATAGCATGAAAGGCATGCATCACCACATCTGCTCACACTAAAATCTTTTAATTGAGCCAGGTGTGGTGGTTCTCACCTGTAACCCCAGCAATCAGGAGGCTGAGGCAGAAAGATTGCCAAGAATTCAAGGCCAGCCAGGGCTCCATAGTAAATTCAAGGCCAGCCTATAAAATGAGACCCTGTTTAAAAATACAGAGACACATACACACAAATCTTTTCATTGGTCTTTTGGGTAGAAGTAGGATTTGCAGAGAGGCATATAATCAGAGATAGAGCACTTGTATAGAACATGCCAGCCCTGGGCTTGGTCCCTAGCAATACACATGCACACACATCCGTATACACAAACGCGCGCACATATACACACCCAAAAGAGAAAGAAGAAAGGGAAAGAGAGAAAAAGAAAGAAAGAAAAGAAATGGGATTAGCCAGGAGAGATGATTCCTTCAACTTCTGCTGGGACCAAATGTGGTTTCCTCTTTGCTGATGTACGACACTGAACCTAGCCTTCCCAGCCCCATAGAAGACCTGTCTGGATACCAAGGCTTTGGGCACATCTACTCTCCAGATGGCTCTGTCCTTGGATCCCAGAACCAGACTTTTCACTCCAGCTCTGTTAGACCTTTCTCTGTGCACTGTGGAGTGAACGCTTGCTTGTTTTTCCACAATGCCAAAGGAGCTGACAGTATATCTAGTTCTGGAAAACACAGCCCTGGCTGTGGCTTCTCTGCCCTCTTGGCTGCCCAGCTCGGTCCGCCTCCAGTCTCCACACAAACGTCGAGGCAGAGCTGGCAGGTGCAGAGTTCATGCACGAGGTTCTCCTCTTCACCTTGACCCTGCACTGTGGTGACAGGAGGCTTCTGGCCCATGGCCCTGTAGGCCAGGTCTCTGTCACATTCTTCTTCCCTCTGGAATCAATGGGGTACAGCTGAGGTGTGGGGTGTTGGTGAGTCTGCCAATGGCTGAGGTCACAGGGACTGTGGACAGCCTGTGCCGAGCGGGAGAGGCCCATAAGCTTCAAAGGTAATGTTTCAGAAACTAACGTAGCTGACAGCTGGTTGCCTTTCTCTCTTCCAGAATTCCATTCGCCACAACCTTTCCCTCCACGACATGTTTGTTCGGGAGACATCTGCCAATGGCAAGGTCTCCTTTTGGACCATTCACCCCAGTGCGAACAGATTCCTGACTCTGGATCAAGTGTTTAAGGTGAGTATCTTGGTTTCATCTACATAGGGTCAGCTTGGAGGTCGTGGAGGCCATCTCAACAGGAACAAGCTGTCCTTGGGATGCTGTGTTGATCTGGGAGGGATCTGGGAGGAACCATCTAGGTAGGAACTTGAATAAAACACACTGAATTAAGTACAGTTGCCAAATACCAAATGACATACTTTTGTTCTGGACAGGGACATGGAAAGCACCATTGTGGTCTAAAATAGAGAACTTCTCAGGGCAATGTTTCCTTAGCTCCTCTATAAATAAGAATTACCTGACATACTTGTTACAATATAGCTTTCCAGATCACTCTCTTGGGGTTCCCGATTCCAGGTATCTGATGGGACCAGTAATTTTTATGTTTGCTTTTATTTATTATTTATTGTTGTTTTTGAGACAGGGTCTTGCTACATAGTTCAGGCTGAACTCACTGTGTAACCTAGGCTGGCCTCCAATTTGTGGCAACCCTCCTGCCTCAGCCTCCTGTGTGCTGGGATTACAGGTGTGCACCAAAAGAATTTGTATTTTTTAAAGTATCTCAGGTGATTCTTACAGAGAAAGACTGGGAAACTGCTTTTTAAAAAGCCTTTGGCCTAGAGAACAGAAACTGAGCTACCACAGCATCTTTTTAGGAAGAGGCTATTACTTTGGGACTTAGCTGCTGGTATATGACCATCCTTCTGGGAAGGACAGTTGTCCAGGTTGTCCTTCCACATCTGTTGGGAATAGGTTTCTTCCCAGTCCAGTCAGACTGACCGTGCTGACGGTAACTTCATCTCGTTTCTCTCCCACAATGCTTGGCTGCCACAGCCACTGGACCCAGTGTCTCCACAATCGCCCGAGCACTTGGAATCCGTAAGGCTCTCTCCCTCTGGCTCGGGGCTTGGCCTTGCTTCCTTTCACTGCTTAGCATGGCTTTTGTGGACAGACAAGCTATGACTGAGGGAAGGCGTCCTAGGGCCATGTGACTGCCACCCTAAACACCCAGCTGTTGGGAGTGAGGAACATGTGGCAGCTGGGAACTTGCCCACGTCTCCTCCTTCATGAGCAGCACAGGGCGGCTGAGCAGAGCAGGCACAGAGAAGGACATGCCACTGATGGCACGGGCCTTATTATCTCACTTTTCGGCCTGGCTTTTCTTTGCCACTCAGACAGCTCCATGCTTCAGCGTCCCTGGGGATGGTGAGGCTCGTAGGAGGGGAAGGACTGGGAGGGGAAGGACGTGGAAGGTGTGCCGTCCACCTTCCCCGGAAGCAGGACCTAGGGGGCCGCTCATCTGTTTCCACCCCTCAGGCCCACTTTTCCTTTCTGGACTGTCGTTTAGCCTAAGTGCCCCACCTCAGCTTGGTGGGGTCTGCTGTCCCCTCTGATGAACTCACGTTTCTTTCTCGTCTGCCACAAGCAGCAACAGAAGCGGCCCAATGCTGAGCTCCGCCGGAATGTGACCATCAAAACTGAACTCCCTCTGGGCACACGTGAGTGGAGGCCTTGTTGAGGGGCATATCTTAGCCTCGGAAAATCTGTTCCCAACTCAAAGGGAGGGAGGGATCAGAGCCCAGAGAAGGACAGTGGGAAGGGGTGTGCCTTGGCCCCCTTGGCCCTAATCTCTCCTGTTTCCTTTTAGGGCGGAAGATGAAGCCACTGCTGCCACGGGTCACCTCGTACCTGGTGCCCATCCAGTTCCCAGTGAACCAGTCCCTGGTGTTGCAGCCCACAGTGAAGGTGCCGTTGCCCCTGGCGGCTTCACTGAAGAGCTCAGAGCTATCCTGCCACAGCAAACGAGTCCGTATCGCCCCCAAGGTGAGTGCTCACTGTTTTTCTAGTCATTAAAAACATTGCACCTGCAGCTTGTACAGCACTCTGCTAAGTGTTTGTTGTTGTTGCTGTTTTGGTACCAGGGATTGAACTCGACTTTGTGCTTGTGAGGCAGGTGTGACACCACTGAGCTAAACCCCCAGCCCAGCTAAGTGTTCCTTGAGAAGCTTATAAACTTAGTTGGGTAGAAAAAACAAAAACATAAGGAAACTTTAATAACATATTATAAGAGCTAAAAAAGAATTTGGATTACAATGTATGTGGTGCCAAAAGACCCGTTAGTACCTGATGAGTTTGTAAGAATGCAGACCAGAGTAGTTATATACTAGCTTGGCTAGAAGGGTCCAGAAAGTGTTCACAGGGGACAGGTCCTGCATAATTCCCCGTGGGGTTGGAGGGTGTGGTCTTGCATGTCCTTTGTGTTCCCCACTAGATGCTAGTAGTACCCCATGTGTGACAATCCAAATGTCTCCAGGTATCACCAGGTGTCCATGTCGGGGGAAAATCATTCCTGGTCCAACACCTCTGGTCTAGCTTGGGGAAGTGAGATAGTTTAAGTTAAGGGCTCACTGTGATGGATCAAGTCTGGGCCAAACCTCAGGAGACAGTTTTTTGAGCTGAGGATAATGTATAACCAAAGAAAAGGGCTTCTTGTTCCTTCAGTGAGAGGGAAATAGCATGGACTTGAGTTTAGTGAAACTTGGGTTTGCTTTTCTTTTCTTTTTTTTTAATTTAAAAATATTCTGGGCCAGGGATTTAGCTCAGCAGTTCGGTGGCCTGCCTTATAAGCACAAGGACCCGAATTCTATCCCCAGTACCGGAAAAAAATAAATAAATAAACAAACAAACAAACAAATTAAATAAATAAATAATATTTTTAGGGCTGAGATGTAGCATAGTGGTAGAACACTTGCCTACCATGTGTGAAGCCCTAGGTTCAGTCCCCAGCACTACAAAATAAATAAAAGGAAAGATATTTGAGCCCAGGAGTTCAGGGCCAGCCTGGGCAACATAGCAATGCCCTGTTTCTTCAGAGGAAAGAAAGAAAAAACAAGATAACAGATGTCAGCAATTTAGTATGCTTTCTTCTGTATTTTATCCATGCTTTAAAAATAATTTGTCTATATAGTGATGGCCATTTTATATGTATACTTACAACACAAAATATTGAAAATGTGACCACAATATACACATTTTTCTACATCTTTTTTTAACTTGAGATATGTGCCTCAGCCTCCTGGGTAAACTGAGATTACAAATACGTGCTACTAGGCGTGCCTTTCATCTGAGGATGGTTTGTTTTCATTTTTGTTTTTTTTTGGTACCGGTGATCAAACTCCGGTCCTTGCGCTTGCGAGGCAGTCGGTGGAACCACTGAGCTAAATCCCCGGCCCTCATTTTTTTTTTTTTTGAGACAGGGTTGCCCTGGGTAATCCAGGCTGGGCTGGCCTTGAACTCCCAGTGCCTCCAATTTGGAATACTCCTGCTTTGGCTTCCTGAGTGGTAGGATTATAGGTGTGTGCCACAGTCAGCCACACCTGTCTTTTCCTAAAGTGAAGACATGGCAGTTCTTCTGCATTGCTTGGCATAGTTCAAATTCACTGTTTTCTAACAACATCCACTTAATGTTTCATAGTGTGACCATGTGAATTCTCCTTGCCCCACCTCTATGGGCACATTTTGTTTTTAGGGCTTTGCCCTGTGTAAATACCTTTTTACTGGTCTTTTGTGTCTTTGGGACAGAGCCCCAGACATGAGATTGGAAAAGTACCTTAAATTATAATAAATTTCGCAAGATTGATTTACTAAAAAATGTGATCATTTACATTTCAACCAGCAATAGATGACAAGATCTGTATCTTTGTCAACAATTGCTGTGATCAGTCTTTGATATTTGCCAGTCCAGTGCATGTGACTCTCTCTCTTTGTTAATTTTATCTGTACCAGTAAATTTGAGCGCCTTCTCCTTAAGTCTGGTCACTTGGGGCAGCCTCTGGCACTACTTCATGGACAGTGACCAGTTTGCTGCAGTGTCTGGTTATTTGTGAGCACTCTTTATTGCAAGAACATTAACCTCTGTCCTTTATAATGATATTTTCCTGCTTCCGTTGTTTCTTTTTTAACTTTGTTTATAATATCTGTGGCCACAGTAAAATTTTAAATTTTATATAGTCAAATTGTCTCTCTTCTCTTTCACAGCCTCTGGGCTTCCAATTTTGTTTAAGGAGGTCTGCTGGGCATGGTGGCCCACACCTGTAATCCCAGCACTCAGGTGAATGAGATAGGAGTATTGCTGTGAGTTTGAGGCCAGCCTGGGCTACATAGTGAGTTCAAGGCCAGCCTGAATTACAGAGCAAAACCCTGGGTCAAAAAAAAAAACAGAAAGAAAAAGAAAAAAAAAGGTCATCCTACCCTAGATTGTGCATGTAGTCTCCTAGATTCTCTTTTAGGATTTGTGTGGTTTTCAGGTTTTAATTTTTACATTTAACTCTCTGTACTCATGGGTTCAATCCCCATCATGCCTTCTCAAGTCTTTGTAAGACAAAAGAGCTGGGGTGTAGCTCAGTAGTAGAACACTTGCTTAGCATGCAAGAGGCTCTGTGTTCAATCCCCAGAATCATAATTAACTAATTAATTTAATTTAAAAACAGCATCCACACCAGCATGTCACACGTGTCCTGCCTGGTGGCAGCAGGTTGAATGTGAGCCCTTTTACTCTGTTCCTGCTTCCCTTTCAGGTACTGCTGGCTGAGGAGGGCATAGCCCCTCTTCCCACTGCTGGACCAGTGAAGGAGGAGAAGTCTCTGCTTGGAGAAGGACTGTTACCTTTGCTTCCGGTTCAGTCTCTCAAGGAGGAAGAAACCCAGCCTGGGGAGGACATGCTCCCCATAGGGAGACCCATCAAAGTGGAGAGCCCTCCCTTGGAGGAGTGGCTCTCTCCATGCCCATCTTTCAAAGAAGAGTCATCTCACTCCTGGGAGGATTCATCCTGCTCGCCTACCCCAAGGTCCAAGAAGTCCTTCAGTGAGCTCAAGTCCCCAGCACGGCGTGTCTCGGAAATGCTCGTGATTAAACGGAAAGAGAGAAGGGAGATGAGCCGGTCTCGTAGGAAACAGCACCTATTGCCTCCCTGCGTGGATGAGCCCGAGCTTGTCTTCTCGGAGAGCCCCAGCACATCTGGACAAGCTTTGGAGCACCCTGTCTGCCTCCTGGCAGAGTCTGCAGAACCTGCCCCGCAGCTTGGCTGCCCCCAACAGGAGGGAGGACCTTTCAAGACACCCATTAAGGAGATGCTGCCCATCTCCTCCACGCCAAGTAAATCTCTCCTCCCCCAAACCCCTGAACCCTGGAGGCTCACACCTCCCGCCAAAGTGAGGGGGCTGGATTTCAGCCCTGTACAAACCCCACAGGGCACCTTTGGCCCCTTACCTGACACCCTAGGGCTAGTGGATATGAGCACCACGCCACTGAAAAGCATTCCCCTCTTTGACTCACCTCGAGAACTCCTCAATTCAGAACCCTTTGACCTTGCCCCTGACCCCTTTAGCAGCTCTTGCCCCTCAGACCTGGAAGTTCCCAAGCTAGGGTCCGCAGAACCACAGGTCCCCAGCCTTTCAGCCAACCGTTCTGTGACAGAAGGCCTGGTTCTAGACACAATGAATGACAGCCTGAGCAAGATCCTGTTGGACATCAGCTTCCCTGGCCTGGAGGAGGACCCCCTGGGCCCCGACAACATCAGCTGGTCTCAGTTCATCCCTGAGCTGCAGTCGAGGCCGGACCCTGACCCGCCATTCCAGGCAGTCCCAGGCTCCGTGAGTCCCACACCCTCTGAGTGAGGACTGCGGGCCGGGACTGCACCGCCCGGTGATGCAAAGGCAGCACTCACACCCCAGCCACCTCTGCAAGACTAGATGGGCAGCTGGGCCCGAGAGAGTGACTCCTCTGCTCTCCCTGCCACGAGCAGAAGGGCGGCAATGCCAAAGCAGTGGTGAAAGGGATTAGGCGTTCCCTAGATCCCTTCCACTCTGTGTCCTGCAGTCTCGCTTTCCCTGCTTCTTGCAGCATGGCCTTTGTAAGTAGTGTAAATTCTCTAAGTTACCTTCTAATTATAAATGAAAGTTGGAGGTGGGTAGGCTGACAAGGAGCTGCACTTTGCTTCTGTCCCTTGGTTCAGCTCCCAGAGGGGAGAACCTGCAGTGCATGGTTTCTTCCAGGCCCAAGAGTTCTTTACTGTGGGTAGAGGGATGGTTCTCCCAAGTCTGCTTACCAGAGCCCCTCCTGCCCCTCCCTCCCCACCTCCGTGTATCCAAGCCAGCTTTCCTGCAAGAAGAAATGTGGTTGAAAAGGTCTTGGATTGAGTCAGGAATTGGATTTGGAGATGCAATGGGTGCATCTGAAGCACAGTGGTACCCAGATGTGCCCCGTAAGACGTTTTTCTGATACTGTCCCTAATCATGCCAGGGAGACTAGCACGGACAACAACTCAGGTGGAGGCTGCAAAAGTAGAAAGAACCCCTCACCTGCCTGGTGTCCTTAGCAGCTTTTCAAAGAACCGCCCTAGGCTCAGGCTGGCTGCCTGTATGTGAGCCCACTCGAGAACACTACCACAGCTTACGTACTGAATAAAATCCGGGTGGAACTGCTGGTCTCTGTTTTCTGTCAGGATTTGGAGGGGATTGAAAGAGGTTTCACGGTGAGGAACAGGAAGAGGAACGGCCTGCAGCTGCCCGTGAAAGCAAATGAAGGATGGTGTGCGGGGCTTCCTCATGGATCCCTTCCCACCCCTCCATTCATTCCTTGAGATTGAACTCAGGGCCTTTGCACTAAGCTACATCAACAGCTTTTTAGTTTTTTAGCTGTTTTGTTTGTTTGTTTTGAGACAGGGTCTCACTATGTAGTTGAGACTGACCTGAAACTCACTATGTAGCCCAGGCTGGTCTCAAACTCACAGTGATCCTCCTGCCTCAGCCTCCTGAGTGCTGGGATTACAGGCATGTGCCACCATGCCTGGCCAACAGCTTTTTAGCTTTGAGACAGGGTCCTGCTATGTTGCCTAGGAGTAATTTGCACTTTGAATCCTGCCTTAGCCTGCCAGGATGCGGGGCTCACAGGCATGTGCCACTGTGCCTGACTCTCCCATACTCAGGACCTCCCGTTGGCCAGGCAGGCACAGCACCACACGGCTACATCCCTGGCCCTTGTCCATACCTTTTCTAACACTAGAACTGCTGATTTTCCCAATGCTGTCCTACGCATCCCACCTCTTCCCTGTCATAGTCCTTGTTTGTTCGGACCATTGGGCCTGCTGTTAAGCCCTTGCTGGTCCCTCAATAAGAGTGGCAGGCCCCTGGAGCATAGGGGGAGGGGGAGCCCTCTTGCAGGGATCTTATTACCACCACCAGGAGGCCTCCCTGTTTTCTTCTCCCTGAACTTTCCTGCAAGTCCCTCTCCAGAAGCAGATCCTGTCACTTTATTTTGTAGCCAGAACAGACAAGAGTCACTTCTCTGTCTCACTGGAAAGGCAGGCAGACGCCCCAGAGACTGAAGAGCCTCAGGTGGCAGGTAACGGCTTCACTGTATCATCAGTCAGGAAGTGTCACCATAGCAACAGTAACAAACAATGGTGCCCGAAAGGGGCCCTCACAAAGCTGTCCCTCCTGGCTCAGAGCCCAGAAGAATGACCAACATGCCACCGAGGTTACTCCAACGGCCTAGTGATCCATGTCACAGAAAGCCTCTCCTGCAGGTAATCCTTTTCCTCTGGCTGGGCCAGAGTCTGGCCCTCTGGGCAGCAGTTCTCCTAGGGTGTAAACTCCTTTTCTGCTCAACATTGCAACTTCAGAACAGCCCAGATATGAGGAGGTGCCTAGTTAGCACAGATTGAATGTTGTATCTGAAATGTTTGGTATAGGAAGTCTAGGATTTGGATTTTTTTTTTTTTTTTAAATCTTGGAATGTTTGTATGTAATCTTGGAATGTAGTAATGAGACCTTGCGGGCAGGACCCAAGTCTAAACCCAAAATTTGTTTTATACATACTTTATGCACTGAGGCTTTTTATTCAATATTTTTAGTGTGCCTGTATTTTGCTGACTGATTACTTAAAGGTTAGGTGCGGCACTTTCCACTTGTCATGCCATGTGATGCTCAGGAAGTTTCAGATTTTGAACATTTTGGATTCTCAGAGATGTTCAACCTGTACCACATCCCGCCTCCTAGCCCGTTGGTAGAAATGACTTAGGGGACAAGGCCCAAAATAGGCTAGGCGTGGTGGCACAGGAGGATTGCAGCAAGTTCAAGGCCAGCGGGGGCTACATAGTGAGTCCTTGTCTAAAAAGAAACAAAAGAAATGCCCTGGAGTAAATGGAGAGAGGCATTTAAAAGATAACTTTCATCCTAGCCAGGCCACACGCTGAGCACTGCAAGACTGTCTAACAGCAGTGGCCCAGGTCCCCAGTCTACCATTCATTCAGACACAATTTCCCTTTGGCAAAGGTGTATTTGGGCTCATGGCTTCAGAGGCTTCCATCCATGGTCACTAGGCTATTGGCCTGGCCTGTGGTGGCCTGGGACATCACAGTGGGAGCACACAGTGGAGGCCTGTGACCCAGGAAGTCAAGAGAAAGGGAGGAGGGTTCCACTATCCCCAAAGGCCACCATCACGGACCTCACGGACCTCAACTAAGCCCTGCCTCCTAAAGGAGTCACCAACACCCACAGCACCATAGGCTGGTGACTAAGCTGGCAGTCATGGGCCTTTGGGGACATTTCAAAGCCATAGCAGGATGGTGACGAGACTTGCCTATAGACTTGTGAGGGTTAAACGGGACATGTGCAAGCATCGGGCAGTGTTGACACAGATTTGCTCCAGTTTAATCTTCTGGTGGAGACAGGTGCAGAAAAGGGAAGGAGCTAACACTCTAAATGCTTTCTGTATTTTCATTTTATTTTTAGTTAAAATTTTTTTTATAGGGCGGGGGATTCAGCTCAGTGGCATAGCACCTGCCTGGCAAGCACAAGGTCCTGAATTTGATCCCTGGTAGCCCCCCCAAAAAAATTTTTTTAGGGCCAGGGATTTAGTTCAGTGGCGCCATGACTGCCTTGCAAGCACAAGGCCCTAAGTTTGATCCCCAGTATCAGGAAGAAAAAAACATTTTTTTTTTTTTTGAGACAGGGTTTTACTATGCAGTTCACACTGCCCTTGAACTGAGCACCAAGCCCAGTCTGCTGTCAAACTCTTGGTGATCCTTCTAGCCCAGTTTCTTGAGTTCTGGGATCATAGGCATGTGCCACCACACTGAGCTATACTGGCATTCTAATGAGAAGTCAGAGGTAATGGTGCTTGCTCTAGGAGACTGAGACAAGAGAATCAAAAGATCAAGCCCACAGCAAGGGATTTAGCTCAGTGGTTCCACTGCCTGCCTAGCAAGCAAAGGACCCCCGGTACCAAAAACAAAAAACAAAACAAAACAAAAAACCAGTCCAGATTGGACAACTAGGCAAGATTCTGTCTTAAAATTAAAAATGTGAAAAGGGCTGGCTATAAAAACTCAGTGCAACCTGGGCTGCAGTGAATTCAAGGCCAGTCCTGGCTACACAATGAGTTTGAGCCTGAACTACATAGCAAGACTGTCTCACACAAAACAAAACAAAACAAAAAACTCAGTGCAAAGTTCCTGGCTCCAATCATCAGGGCTGCTGCCAGAAAAGCAAAAGCCAAGGGCTTATGCCAATGAGAAAGAAACACTAGAAGGCGCCTGGGCTGCTATTTGGAGAGGGGCTTTCCATGTGTCACCAGGCATCATCAAGAGCACTGGAAGGTGGCTCTCTGGGATGGCTGTCGTGGGTCACCTCTAAGACCACAGACCAGAAAGAGGCCCAAGCCAGGAACGTGGGGCCTTCAGAATGTGGGAGGGAGTTGAAGATGAAGAGTAAAAATTGAGATGTGAGGGCTGGGGATTTAGCCTAGTGGTTCCGCCGCCTGCCTCATCAGCGCAAGGACCCAAGTTCGATCCCCAGTACCAAAAAAAAAAAGTTGAGATGTGGGAAATCAAGCCCATAATATGGCCAATGAAAAGAATAAGGAAGGGAGATTCAGGTGACAAGGTGGAAAATAGTGTTGTCATTTTGGGGGGCAGGAAGGAGAGGTGGCTCCCTGCCAGGCTGCTGTGTCCCAGAAGAGTCCTGGGTGGGAGGAGGCTGGTAGCTTGTGCCTAGGAAGCAAACCTCAGGGCCTGGCCTGTGCTGTGTCCCCGTGGGCACAGGCATTCCTAGGCTCTGGTTTTCTCTTCCTAGATGGCCCAAGTCAACGAACTCCTCCCCCAGTACCAGACATGGGCTCAGCGCCAGTTCCTCCTTCCTTGTGAGTCCTGGGAGTTCCCTGGCTTCACCCGGCAAGCCTACCACCAGCGGGGTCTGCAGCAGCCCCCGTGCACAGAAATCAAGTCCACCGTGCGTCAGCGGCTGCTCCACCCTTGGCAGGGTGCAGCTGAGCACATCTGGGGCTTCCACACGTGGCTCGATGTGGGGCGTCTCCCTGCCACCTTCCCCAGGCGGCCAGACAGGCCCTACGACAGCAACGTCTGGCGCTGGCTCACACACTCCCAGGCGTGTCGCCTTCAACCAGCAGAGCCCCGGGTGCCCCCTCCATCCAGGATGGGGCCAAACAGCTTCCTGACCTTCATCTGCTCCATGCCCATCTTCTTGGATGGAAACAGGAAGACCCAGGTGATTCTGAGGACAGTGAAAGAGCTGGAGGAAGCAGAGAAACTCAAGCTGAGGAGTGAAATGAGAGCACCTCTGCTGGATGCCCACGGCAACACCCTGCCCCGTGAGAACTTCAGGAAGTAAGACCAGCCCTCCTTGGGGGGCACCTCCTTGCTGTGGGCCAGCCCCCACAAACCCCTTTCCTGTTTCTGGTGTCTCTGTACTCCAGCCCTCCTACATATTGTCCTCTATCCTTTGTGCTTTTCTTCATAGTGCTGGGGATGGAACCCAGGGCCTCGTACATGCTAGACAAGTGCTCTAACACTGAGCTGCACCCCAGCTGGACACTTGCTTTCAGAATACAGTACAGCCAGAAAGATTGGTGGGAGTAGGAAAAGACCAGCAAGAGGAGGCACTTAATCACTTAACTTCAGTAAAGGGGGGACAATTTATATGATCTGAAGAGTGCCACTTACTGATAACACCTGCTAGGCTCTAGGGACACTGGGGACTGTCATTCAGTCTCTGTCCTCAAGACAGCCATCAAAACCAGGCCATGCAGCACTCAGGAGGCTGAAACAGGAGGATTACAAGTTCAAGACCAGCCTGGGCTGCATAGTAAGATCTTCTCTGAAAAAAAACAAAAATCAACCAAACAAACAAAAAAAGAAAAATAAATGAACAACAGCAAAATAACAATAACAAAAACTACACCATGCCTGTGAGTGCCCACATCATGAGACAGACAGTGGGAACCCTAAGAAAGCCCATGATTGTTTCGTGAGTGTGTGTGGTGCTGGGGATTGAAGACAGAGCCTTGTGTGTGCTAGGCAAGTCCTCCATCACTGAGCTACAACCCCAGACCTTTATTATTTTTTAACAGGAAAAAGAACACATAAAACTTATTACATGTCTAAGGCAGGAAAGTATAGTATTCGGCTCCAGGAAGTCCATTATTAAAGGACAGAACTGAATGAATGCTATGGTGAAAAGGCTTGGAATTAAATCCAAATTATATCACTTTGACAAATTGCTCAGTTTTTCTAAACTCAATTCCATCACTGATAAAGTGGGTTTCATAAATACCTACCTCACCTGTGTGAGGGTAAGATGGATTAGTTATTCTAGGTATGCTGGTGCCGTCTGCAATCCCAGCACTCAGGAGGCCGAGGCAAGAGGATGGCAGAGTTCAAGGCCAAGCTGGACCACATAGTGGGTTTAAGGACAGCCTGAACAGCATGGTGAGGTCTGGCACAAAACCAAAAAAAAAAAAAAAAACCCCAAAAAACCCAAAAAACAGACAGGCTAGTGAATATGTGAAAGAGCTGAGCCAGGGACTAGGGCGTGGAGCACTGGTGGAGTGCTGGTCCAGCATGTCCAAAGCCCTGGTCCATCCCTAGCACCAAAAAAGAAAGGAAGGAAGGGGGGAGAAGGAAGGAAGGAAGGAAGGAAGGAAGGAAGGAAGGAAGGAAGGAAGGAAGAAAGAAAAAGAGAAAAAAGAAAAAAAGAAAAAGACATAAAAACCAAGCCCAAATGAGATTTTATTGGAGAAGCTCAGGAGGAACTGCTGTGAGCACCCTGGCACCATCTGTGCCTGCCCCTCCCGGGTGCTTGGTGTGAAAGCCAGGGGTGAGGGTGGAGGGGCAGAAAGCCTGCAGAGGGTTGAAGAGGGGTGGTCGGAGCAGACAGAGATTGAAAGGGGTGGTCTGGGTCCCAGCTCCTCCCTCCGGCCCACTGGGGATCTCAGTCTCCAGACCTGTCCAGACGAGGTGAGGAGTAGCGCAGGGCTTTTGTCTGCAGTAGTTGATGTGAAGCCTGTGATGGCTAATCGGCAATAATGTAGATCCAGAGGTGAATAAGACTTAGCACCCTGCTCGAAGAGATCCACAGTTGAATCTAATCCCTTTAGCTGTATTGTTTAATCCCTTGAGACTCTCTGGGTAGAAACTCATTAACCCCATTTTACACATGGGGCACCTGAGATGGACAGGTCAAGAATCTTACCCAATTTCGGACAGCCCTAGGTCACAAACTTGCTATCGGATCTTAACTTAAAATTTTTTTGTTGTTGTTTTTTTGAGACAGGATCTCACTGTGTAGCTCGGGCTGACCTTGAGCTCACTATAGCTCAGGCTGGTGTTGAGCTCTCAGCAGTCCTCCTGCCTCAGCTTTCTGAGTGCTGAGATTACAGGTATGCACCATCATGCCGGGCTTTTTAAAACTGTTTTGAGCCTCACTTTTCTTCACCGACTATTAGAGAAGAGCCCTGTCCTTACCAGTTTGGTAGGAGATCAAATGGCACAAGCAGAAGGGGCGCAAGAAGTGGCATCATCAGTACAGCATTTCCATGAAAGGAGGGTGCTGCCGAGGCACAGCCCCTGGAGTGGGCATGAAGGAGAGCATGGGCAAGACTTTTCATTTGATTTTTTGGCAGTGATGAGAAGGGAACCCAGGGATTTGAGCAGACAGGCTCTACCATGGAGTCACATTCCCAGCCTCAGGCAAGTGTTAGCTGCTCACAGAGGAAGTGATATTTGAGCTGCACCTTAAAGGAACTGTGCAAACTAAGAGGTGGAGAGAAGAAAGACGACTGAGAGGAAAAGCCTGTCAAGTCTGGTTGTTCCTTCTGAGCAGCTCTGTAAGAGAAGAGTAAGGAAAATTGTTCTACAATGACTGTGGGTCCTGGGGTGAGGTCAGTGGCACTGTGCACTTAGCATGGAGACAGCCCTGGTTTAGTCTCCAGCACCAAAGAGAAGAGGAAGAGGAAGAGGAGAAGTAGGAAGAGGAAAAAGAAAGAAGAAGGAAGAGGAAGAGGAAGGAAGAAGAAGAAAGTTAGATTCTGGATCAGCCAGAGAGCACTGAGGCAGCAGTGCCCAGAGGACTCCAGATATAGGGAATGTGGGGAATGTTATGTGAGTTGTAAGGCACTGGGCTCTCACTGGGAAATAAACAATTAATTATAAATGCAGGAGCTCTCAATCCTGGCAGCAGATGAGAACAACCTGGACTCTTTAAAAATGCTGAGCAGCCGGGCGTGGTGGTGCATGCCTGTAATCCCAGCACTTGGGAGGCTGAGGCAGGAGGATTGCTGTGAGTTTGAGACCAGCCTGGGCTGCATAGTGAATTCCAGGTCAGTTTCAACTACATAGTGAGACCCTGTCTCGAAACAAACAAACAAACAAAAAAAGCTGAGCATCAGTCAGGGCACAGTGGTGCACACCTGTATCCCAGAACTCAGAGGTGGGAACAGGATGACCACAAGATCATCTCAGCAAGATCCTGCCTCAGAAAAGTTAAAGAGGGCTGGAGATGCAGCTTGATGAGAAGGTCCTGGGTTCAATCCTCACCACTACGAGAAAAAAAAAAGGCTGAACCCCACCCTGGAAATTCTAATTAAAATCTCCAGGGCAGAGCTTGGGCATGGTATTTATTTTACTTTTGGTGCTGGTGCTGGGGTGCATACTAGGCAAACATTCTATCACTGAGCTGTACCCCTCTGCTTGTGGTATTGATAAAAGGTCCCCAGAGTGGTTCTAATGTGCAGTCATGGCTGAGAACCCCAGAATAAATCAACAGCAGCAAACGGGAATGTCTGCTGCAGCAGAAAACCTGCAACCATTCAACTATTTTTAAAAAGCAGCCTTGGGCATGGTGATGCAAGCCTGTAATTCCAGCATTCAGGAGGCTGGGGCAGGAAGATTGCTGTGAGTTCAGGGACAGCCTGAATTGCAGAATGTGAATCTGTCTAAACGCTCCCCCCAATAAAAGCCAATTTTCTATAATTCCATTTATTTTATTTTTATTTATTTTTGATATCAGGGATCAAACTCAGGTCCTTGAGCTTGCAAGGCAGGTGGCAGCACCACTGAGCTAAATCCCCGGCCCTACAATTTCATTTAAATTCTATGGACCAATAAAGAAGTTGCTGGCTTGCACTGAGTTGAGTGGCCTTCCCACAAGCACTTTGTTAGTGGACAAGGAAAACCTGAGGGTCAGTAAGAATCCCGCTGGGTGTGGTGGTGCACACCTGTAATCCTAGCACTTGGGACGCTGAGGCAGAAAGATCTCCACAAGTTTGAGGCCAGTCTGTGCTACATAGAGAATTTAAAACCAGCCTGAACTACATAGTGAGACCTGTGTTAAGACAACAACAACATAAAAGAATCTGGATGACATTATATACAATATGTCAAAAGAGTGGAAGATTTACTAGCAACACTATATAGCTAGTAAATTATCTATATGGATATAAACATGTGCTCTCACTGCTTAACACTAAAACACACATAGGACACAGTGCAGACCATTTGACATAGAGGAGGTGGAAGAGACTCCTGCAGCCTGGTACCCAGGCAGCTGGTGAAAGACAAGATCACCCTCCCTTCCCAGCCTTTCCCATCACACCTTTCGAGGTTCCTTGACCTCTCTTCCCTCTCCATCCCGCTTCCCAACAGGTCCTGGCACAAATCAGCTGGGGGATGGTTTGAGTTTTGAGCCTCCCGCTCCTGCCCAACGCACTTCCCACTGCTCTAGCCAGAAGCTGGCCCTGCCCAAACCCTCTGCCTCATCACCAGAAGAAGGTGCTAAAGCTGGCCTGGCTGCCCAGTGTACCCCTGAGCAAGGGCCTCGTAAGGGATTACCAGGCCTTGCTAGCGGATCGCATTGCGCTGCCTCTCCACCATCTGTCCACCACACAGCACGGCCAAGCCTCGGGGAGGAAGAGGAGGAGGCCTGGACACATCTAGAAGAGGCTGCAGACAGTGAAGACCATGGCATGCACGCACACACTCCCAGGTTCCTGTTTCCAGCCCATGTTCCTTCAGCAGGAAGCTTCTGGTAGCCAAAGGACTCTGACTTTATAGAACAGCTTCTCCACCATTTTCCCAACCTCATGTCACCTTTGTACCCTGAGTTCGTGAAGATGCTATTGAAAATCTCAGTTGTTATATTTCTTCCTCAGAGAACTCTTGCAGCAGGTGCGAGGACTGGGGCAAGGAGGGTGGATAAGGCAGTAGGACAGGGGAGGAAGAAAATGCAGGGAGAGAGGGAGAAGGACAGGGAGGATAGGCAGAGGGAGAGGGAGGAGAGGGAGAGGGAGAGGGAAGAGGAGGGGGAGGGAGAGAAACACTATGAGAAATGTGGGGGAAAGGATGAGACTCCCGTCATTGCCCATTTGGAATGAGTCTGGGATTGCTGAGCAAAGAGCTCTCAGGCAAATGTCCCTTCACGTTACCCTCCCTGAAACATCTGCTATCTGGACAAAGCAAGATACACTGTGCTCAGGTGCAGGTCTCCTGCAGGAGCTTGGGGAGTGGAGGTCAGGCCCAGCTGGTTCTGTAGGGTGGAAGGATGGGCCAGTAAGGCCTGGGGAGGGTCAGACAGGCCTTTGGAGAGCACAGGAGTAGAATGAAGTAGAGACTCAAGACGAAAGCCAGAGTGGTTGTCCTGGAGCATCACCAAGGGCCTGAGGCCTGTGCTGCAGTGCACTCCGAGGACCTCAGCTTTTGCCAAGGGGGAGTCAAGGCCTCGAGTGGAGGCAGCCAAGGGCAGCTGTCAGGAAGGAGCTGAGCTGGCCCTGCTTGGGGCTCAGCTGGTGGAGAGCACTGAGTAAGTGGATGGCGAGGCCCCACTTCACCTCCCTGTGAGTCAGTGGCCTGCCCAGCTGGCTTCCTACCCACTGGCCTCTCCTTGTTCAAACCCCGCCCCACAGGCACCCAGGAATCACCACATCACAAACTTTGGGCATTGGTTTCACTAGTAACCAGCTGTGTGACCTTTGGGAAAGTCTCTGCTCCCCTCTACTCAATGGGAGTCACTGGGGTTTAAATAAGTGGGATAAATAAAATAAGTGAAGTGTTTGCAAAGTGTCTGGCACACTGTAGGCCGTCCCGGGATGAAGCTATCAATAGCTGCTCAAAGAACAAAAATGATCAACAGAATATTGTTCATTCATAAAAAGGAGTAGAGTACTGATAGGTGCGGCAGTGTGGAGGGAAAGAAGGAGACACAGGGTTAGGGATGTAGCTCAGCAGTGCAGTGCAAAGCCTTGAGTCCAATTCTCGGTACAAAAAATAAAAAAGGAGATGACACAAAGGCAACGTAGAGCAGTATGATTCTACCTATATGAATGCCTAGAAAAGGCAGGTTCATAGAGACAGAAAATAGAGAAGTCACCAGGGGCTTTGAAGGTAGGATGGTGGTGTTATTGTTTAGGAATAGAGTTTGTGCTGTGGCTGATGATGAAAAACTTCTGGAACTAGACAGTGGTGATGACAGCACAATATTGTGAATGTTCTCTCTTTTTTTTTGAAACAGGGTCTCACTTTATGTGCAAGCTGGCCTTGAACTCACTATGTAGCCCAGGCTGACATTGAACTTGCAGCAATCCCCCTGCCACAGCCTCCCAAGTGCTGGGATTATAGGCATGCACCACCACGCCTAGCTATTGTGAATGTTCTTAATGCCCTAGATTTGTAAACTTACAAATGATTAAAATGGTAAATTTTATAGTATGTATATTTTACCACAAAAATTTTGAAAAAAGAATAAAGTACTGATATGTGAATAAACCTCAAAAACATCATGCCAATTAAAGCAGCGGGAGAGAAGGTGCCTGTGGTTTGTGGTGGTTTAGGTTTGGTTTGAGCTCATGTGTGGTAGGCATGATTTCCAGTGTTGCATTGTGACAGGACAGGGGCCAATGAGAAGAGTTTAGGACACTGAGGGCACTGACCCTCAGAAGGAATTAGTACTGATCTGGCAGAGTGAATTAGTTGTTCTCAAGAAAAGCTGTCATAAAAGAGCAGGAACCCGGCCTCTATCAGCTCTCTGGCTTCCTCTTGCCATGTGGTCTCTCCTTTTCTCACACCCATCACGATACCATCCATGGTGTGCCATAGTCCAGGGGCCCTCACCAGAGTGGAACAGATGTTGGCACAATGTTCTTGAGCCTCCAGAACTATGAACATAATAAGCCTCTTTTTTTGTAAATACTTGGCCTTGGTATTTTATTATAGCAATGGAAAATGAACTGATACATTGTGCAATTCATTTATATGATATATCAAGGACAGACAGGTGGACATAGTGGCACACGTCTGTAATCCCTGCACTCAGGAGGCTCAGGCAGGATGATCGCTGTGAGTTCGAGACCAGCCTGGGCTACATAGTGAGTTCCAGGTCAGTCTCAACTACATAGTGAGACCCTGTCTCAAAAAAACAAGGGGGCGGGAAGGACAGACAGATCCACAGAGCTAGAAGTTAAATTGATAGCTACCAGGTACTGGAGAAGGGAGAAATTAAAACTATTTTGAAAGTAAATGTATGTGATAATTGTACATTATCAATGAACTAAATTCTACTGACATGTAAACTTTATAATGGTAAATTTTATGTCACAAATTCCATCTAAATTAAAAATAATTATAATACACATGAGTTGTGTAGTTTCCCACTTTTCTTTGCACTTCAAGTCTATAATTATGTTATATAATACTCCTGGCCTTCCACCTATTATCATGGTGTGTGTGCATGTGTGTGTAGGGGCAGAACTAAGGGTTGAAGGATTTTCTGAGTACTTCAGAGGAGTATCCATTCTCCCTACTCTGGATTAAGAATAATGGTGAAAAGAAAGGGCTCCCTTTACATAGGACCCAACATTGTCAGTGGTAAGCAGGCCATTAGGAAACAAGTCTAATGCCCTAAAAACATTTTTTTTTTGAGATAGGGTTTTGATATGTAGCTCAAACTGGCCTCAAACTTGTGATTCTCCTGCCTCAGCCTCTCAAGTGCTAGGCTTATAGATAGGTACCACTATGCCTGGCTGCATTTTTGTTTTTGTTTTTGCAAAACAAATCAAACCCAGGACTTCACACATGCTAGGCAAGTGCTCTGCCACTGACCTATACCCCAAATCTCTAATGCTCTCGGTTTTATTTATTTATTTATTTTGGTACCGGGCATCAAACTCAGGTCCTGAGCTTGTGAGGCAGGCACCAGAATCACTGAGCTAAATCCCCAGGCCCCTTGGTGTTTTTTTTTAGATGGACAAGTGATGTAGCTCAGTGGCACCGCACCTGTCTTGCAAGTGCAAGGTCCTTTGTTCGATCCTTGGTACAACAACAAGAAAACCAAACAGCCCCAGGACCAAATAGTCCCCATCTTCCTGGTGGTAAAATAGGAGGCAGGAGCTAGGATGGCAGGGCCTGTGTTGTAATCCTGTTCTTCAGGCCACATGTCTCCTCTCCAGTGAGCAGACCTGGAGACACTTCGGGGGTTAATGTGAGGATCTGGGGAACAGGAGGAAGGAGGCCACTGGGACTCTTGAGAGCAAGTTTCCCCTCTCTGGTCTTCAGCTAGTGGAGGGGAGAATGGAAGTGCATCACATCCCCATCTTGCCTGGCCCAAGTCACCCAACAAGCCTCAACCTTAACTGGGACTTCTACCCTGTCCACTTCATTCCCACAGCCTCCAGAGTGGCCTCTTCCTTGCTGGTAGAGTCACTAGAACAGTCAGGCCCTCTTGTCCACTGACCTGCTAGGGTGGCAGGAGCACAACTACTGAAGCCCCTGAGCTCCTGTGGGCCTAGTGATCTGAGGGACAACATCAGCCACCCATGCTCTGGGCTTGGGCACTCTACTAATTCCTAGCTCAGCCTGCATGTACATGGCTGGCAACCACGGACACCTCCCATTCCTGTCTCCCCCATATTAATGAATATGGTGCTCTTGAAAGCTTTGGTGGGCTGGGCTCAGAAGTCCCTGTAACCTGGGCCTATGTTCCCTCCACACCTGCAGTGTGGCTTGGAGAAAGCAGAGAGTTGGATTGATAGACACTCTTCTCTTTGCACATGCCTAGCATGCTACTTTCTGGAATACTCTTGGCCCTTCTGACACACCAGCTTCAAGGACACTGATAATCCCAGCACAGAATGCCTTAAGGACCACTTTTGGGCCAACATCGCCTCTTCCTATGGGCCATGGTGCCATGACTCAGGCTGAGAGACAAGTCCAGGCTACTGAGTTGCTGGGCCCTGAGGATTATGCAGGGCCAAGCATGTGTCCAGCCAGGGCTTATTATTATACTGTGTGCCAGGGTTGGTCATCTAGTAGCTGTGCTCTAAAATGCCCCTTTGCTGCTCCCGGAAATGACAAATCAGAGCTCAAGTCCTATCAGTATACTTCCTGTATGCTATAAAGCCTCTCCTAGTACCCTCAGTCCCCTGCCACACACACCTTCCTTCTCTGGCCAGGACCCCGGAAGGGGGTGCACCCTAGCCTGCCAGCCACAAGCCCTACCAGCCCTCCCTCTCCTCTTGGGCTGGTGTTGTCCAGCCAGAGCCACATTCCCTATGCTGCAACCTCAGGAAATCGGTGTTTGATGGGGCTGCTTCTGCCCATTATTTCCTTCCTCCAACAGAGGTCCTCCCATCAGAGGAGAGCTGCAGTCTAGAGACCCACACTTCAGCCGAGGACATAAACAGAATTCATGTCCCAAAGAGACAGGGCAGGCAGTGGAGTGTGTGGAGCTCGGAGGGTACATTTCTTAGCAAGCACTTACTAAGGACCCGTAGCATAGTCTGATCTAGGCACTGGCGTAAAAAGATAATTGGGATATGGGCCTGACTTCAAGGGCTTCTTAGGCTGGTGGAAAAGCAAAATCCAGAAATAACACCCATGAAATGCAAGGACAAGGGAGCTGAGAGGAGGGAGGAACAGGAAGTAGACAGAGGGAGTTCAGTCCAGCACTAATTACAGGATGCACACGGAATCCCAGATATCAAACAAAAACGCCTCTCCAGAATGAAGAGTGTGAGAAGCCAGTCACCCATTCCAGTGGGTGCAGTGAGGAAGCAGAGTGTCAAAGTGAGCAGTAACCAAGGCACGGAGGCAAAGCAGCCTGGATGAGCAGGAGGAGCAGCATCTCTGGGGCACACAGAGTGGAAGATGCAGAGAGCAGCCAGGTCACCTGGGCTTGGGGTCAGTCTCAGAAGAGTGACTCCATGAGAGAGCCTTCAATGTGTCTTATTCAGGCAAGCAACAGGCTTTTAGTGCTGAAACTTGAATGTGCACACAAATCACCTGAAGAGTTATCGGGTGGTTCTGGAGCTACGGTGCACCTCAGTGGTAGAGTGCTTGCTTGGCATGTGCAAGGCCCTGGGTTTGATCTTCAGCACCACAAAAGCAAAATCAAATCAGAAACCCCGATTCTTTTTTTTTTTTTTTTTTTTTTTATTTTTTTTTCTTTTTGAATTTAATGAGTTTGCATTAAAAGTTTAGGTAGGCATTTTACATTAAGGAATAAAAATCTTTTTAAGAAAACAATACAAAGAGTGAAAGAATTTTAGCCAAATTCACACTTCTTTTTGCTATGCTTTTAACAATTCATTGCATCACATTTTACTGCAATGTGCAAATGCATTTGCAGCACTCATTACAATCATGAAACTAAATTTAAAGAAATGCATATGCTGTTAACGATAGCCCACAGAGGAAACTGATTTCCTTCTATTAAAAACTCTACAGTATTCAGAAACACTAATAATGCTATTAACTAACCACTTATTCTCTTAAGAATCACCACCAAAGTTTTCTGGAAATAAGTCCTCATAAGAATTAAATATTTAAAAGGTGAAATATTCCTTATTTTAATTTTAGCAAGGTCTTATTTTTTAATTGCTAAGAAATATTTTAATAGTTTTAAAGCAAAGACTGTTAAGAGTCTAGATAGCTAAAGTTGTACTCCTGAGTTCAAGTTTACAGATAAGTCTTTTGTAAGTAGTTCTCAATAAAATATCCTCCCCTACTCAGCCTCCTGCTCCAAATCTTGTATTATTTCTTACAAAACTTTGGTCAAGAGTAGAAATATATCCAGGCAGATGTATATTCCATACAATAGCAAAAATGATAAAGCCCAACTAATTGGGTTTTAAAAATAGAAGGCAATTAAAATGTACTCAAAATTACATTAAAAAAAGCTGTCATGGGGTAATACTGAAACAGTCACAAAGGTTAAGAAAATACTAATATCAAAGTACAAATGACTACAATGTTAAAATAGACAAAAACTATTATACAAGAGCCTCTTCTAGAATTAAAAATAAAGAACACAACACCTGAATCAGGATGAGTTTCCTGTTCTACTCATGAATTTTAGTCTTCATATTTATAAGGTCAGTTATGTTGACATCCAGTAGTTTCTTAGGACATCTGAGGAAATCTCATTCCAACTTTGTAGGGTGGGTCTTCTCCAAGGAACCTCTTGATCCTGGTCACATGGTGGTCACTGTACAATTTCAAAGTAGTGCAATATCGCCAATGATGTGCTGGGGCATGAAGACGTATCCAGTGTACAGAGCCATGCCCACAACAGAAACCAACATGGAATTGAACTCCATCCGCTCCCAGGGCTCCAGCATGTAGAGCGGTGTGACCAGCAGGTACTGGTAGTAGAACCAGGACATCCGCTTCCAGGCCCGTGCCAGCGTCATCCCCTCCATACGCCTCCCGCGATGCAGCTGCGCGCCCAGCCCCGCGCGCGCTCCCGGGAGGCCGCACTGCTCAGAAACCTTGATTCTGTAGGGCTGAGATTCTGAATTTTAATTTAAATGCTTATGTTAAATCCTTCCTTCCAAATGCTGCTAAAGCTGCTGAGCTGAGGGCCACACTTTGAGTAGAACCGCTAGATAATCAGTCTGGAGAATCAGAACTGGTGGATTGGAACGCCCAGCCCCGCGCGCGCTCCCGGGAGGCCGCACTGCTCAGAAACCTTGATTCTGTAGGGCTGAGATTCTGAATTTTAATTTAAATGCTTATGTTAAATCCTTCCTTCCAAATGCTGCTAAAGCTGCTGAGCTGAGGGCCACACTTTGAGTAGAACCGCTAGATAATCAGTCTGGAGAATCAGAACTGGTGGATTGGAAAGCAACAGTCCAGAAAGCAGGCTCTTTTGAACTGAAGGTGCCCAGTGATCTGAGAGAGCTGTGGGGAGGCTGAAGTGAAGCAGTGACAGAAAAGGATAGAGCCCATGAAGGCAGGAGGCCATGCTGGCAGAACCCAAAGTGCTGGGACAGGGTGAGGATGGAGGAGGTTGAGGGAGAGGCCGAAGACACCCAGCATCTTAGTTCTGAAGACTTACTTTGTTGCATCACACTTGAATACTGTGTATCTTGGGGTGGCAGCTCACTGAAAGATGGAGGGAGAGAAAACTTCCAGTGCCCCTTCCTACTACCAAAGTTTCCCCAAGCATAATGTACTACGGTCCCAGTACACGGCACATGGAATCCCACGCCAATCAGTCTAACCTGGCACGGAAATTTCTTTGCATCTCTCACTACTGAGCACTTTGGGGGCCCCCAGAAAAATGGCTTGACTTGATCCTGGGGGCCACTGGGCTCTCTGCATGGACTACTGGGATCCCTGTGGGCTTGTGCCAGTTTCTCACTGAGATGAGGTCTAGGGTGGGGCTGGGGTGGGCGCTATGGATATGTAAGGCTTAGGAACTGACTGGCCTGGAACGCGGGCTGACTTGTCTGCCTTCACTGCTTCTGATGATCTGCACCGTAGAATCCAGACAACTGGTGGAGGGGACCAGTTGGCGCCGGGGGTGCCCTCTGGTGCAGTTCCTGACTCATGGCCAAAGCAGCAGAAGGCTGTGGGGACAGAAGTTCCAGCTCTCCTGGTCCGTTGCAAGGGGAGAGACCTATAGGGGACCGAATTCCATTAAAGGTAGGATGGGAGAAAAGGCACTTCTCTCCTAACCTGGACCTAAGAATGGGATTCCCTATCTTTCTCAGCCTCAACCCATCTTCTCTGCAATCCCATCTCTCACTATTTCTCTACCTCCTTCCCTGCTGTCAGTCTAATATTTAAAGGTATGTGGTCCTCATTGTGCTCTACACAATGGCAAGGTGTGTGCATGTATGGGAAAGGCTCGTGTTCCATGGTGAAGGCTGTATGAGTTCTGGTGCCACTGAACCATTTCCAGTAAATGCTCCCATCCCGCTGCCTGCCCTCCTGTCCCTTTGTCCACATAGTTGTTTCCACATCAAGGCACCTTACTTATAATACTCTTACAGACCATATTGTGGAGTTACATTTTACCTTTTTGTGCTGTTGCTTTTTTGAGACAGGGTCTCCCTATATACTTCTCAAACTCATGGCAATCTTCCTGCCTTAGCCTCCTGAGTACTGGGATGACAGGCATGTGAGACCATGCCCAGCTACATTTTACTGTTTTTTTTTTTCAGTACTGGGGATCAAACTCAGGACCTTGCACTTGCGAGGTAGATGTGGCACCAATGAGCTAAATTCATGGTCCTTATATTTTACTTCTTTAAACTGTTGAAAAACAGCATTCATCAAAGTGTCTTTTAATAACACGTCTTATGTATAGGAGATTCTCAGCAAATGTTTGGAATGAGGAAACTGTTATGTCATATATACATGTATCGCAGAGTGCACCAAAGTGTTTGCACACACCCCAAAGTGAATTCATCTTCATTCTGAGTGGTGAGCCTCTTGCTTACCCATGTCTGAGTGTCCTGATGAAGTGGTTGTGGTAGTGGATACTTGTAATCCTAGCATTATAAGGCTGAACCAGGAGCATCATGAGTTTGAGGGTAGCCTAGGCAAGTTAGTGTGGACTTGTCTCAAAATAAAACAGGCTAGGGATGTAGCTCAGTGCAAAGGTTTGATTCCTAGTATTGTACACCCCAAACACCCCAAACACACAAAAAAAGTAATGCTCTTCTGCTCTAAAGCTCTCTGATCAGGAGGCTCTTAACCTCCCAATGATTGCTTGAAACTAACAGATCTCTACTTCTGGCCCAATCTTTCCCTGCTTATGTGTATCTCCATTTCCCTTTTTTGGTTCCTTTACCAGAAAGTCGTTTGCTTCAATTATGACTCCCATAAATCACTTTCTAGGACTCAGTTTATTCCCTCCACTCATTTTATGTATGTATGTATGTATGTATGTACCAGGGATCAAACTTGGGTCCTTGCGCTGCAAGGCCAGTGGCAGAACCACTGAGGTAAATCCCCAGCCCCGCTCCACTCATTTTAAAAAGAGAATCATCAAAGGGCTGGGAAAATTGAAGGTTCCAACACCACTTCCTCTTGGGCTGCATGGATCTACAATTCTCCTGTTAGTGCTGAGCCCAGCTGCTTAGAGTGGCTGTGGACACAGGTGCCCATTAATACCCAATCTCTTGCTGGATGCCTCAGGCCCCTGGGGTGAAAGGGCAGCTCAAATGAACATATGGGGTGGGGTAACAAAAATATTTCCCTGTCGTGGGACCCTGGTGATAGTTTACAGCTCTGTGAAAATACTTAAAACACTGACTTGAGCCTGGGGATGTAGCTCAATGTAGAATCCTAGCATGTGAAAAACTCTGGGTTCCATCTTTAGCACAGCAAAAAACACTACTGAGCTGTATACTTCACAAGAATCAATTTTATGGTATATGACTCTCAATAAAGCTTTTTTTTTTTTTTTAAAGAGTGGCTAGAAGGCTATGGTAGTAAAGATTTACATGCTATGTAGGCCAGGGTTAGAGAACACAAATCAGTTGAGTCATGGGGGAGGGATGGGAGTGGGGTCTGGTTAGGGAAGATGATCCTGGAAGCTCAGGTGGGGATGTGGCACCCAGGGCCCCAGCTCAGGTACGGCAGCTGGAACTAAGGCTAGGGCAATAGGCAGGGGCATGCTCGGGCAAGGTGGTGGGTGAAGTCTTCCCATGATGACAGCAGCTTTTCATCTCTTCTACCTTTCCTTACCATGACTTGAGTGGATGACTTTTACCACCCTGGCCTCTGCCATCCAACTCCTCTCAGCTGCTGGCCTCCCCCCTGCTGCTCAGCAGCTGTCCTCTGCCCCAGGAAGAATTTCCTCTGCAGGTCCCATGACTCCGGGGTTCTGCTCTCCTCCTGTCAACCCCTTCTCAAGAAGAGCAAAGCCAGGTCAGGGCTACAGAAAGGACTGGAACATAACGGAGCTCTAGGCGCGGCTCTGACCACCAGTCAAAGCTGGCAGTCAATTGCTATCCCCACCTGTGCCCAGTGCACCCCACCACTACTTACCTGCCCTTCCCATCACCTCACCTCTGAGGCTTAGTGTCTGCAACAAGCAGACTGCCAAGCCCCCCTGGCTGGGGCATGGTCTGTTTTGGCACTTGCCCTCCCTTTTAGTTCTGCACACATTCGCTCCCAGCTGAATGGGAAAGGACATGGCAAACACAATAATTCATTAATTCATGTTAAGCAAAGGGAGTCATATGGGAAAGTCCAGTTCCTAAGGCTGAAAGCTTACATTAGGTATTTTTTCCAGGTCACAAACTTCTAAAGCCCACTAATTGATTAAAGCTGTGAGCTGGCTCTTGACCTTCTGCATGTTTATCCTTTTCCATTTGCTTTTCTTTTCTTTGATACCGGGAATTGAACTCGGGACCTAGTGCTTGAAAGGCAGGCAGCAGCACCACTGAGCTAAATCCCTGGCTCCTTTTGCTTTTCTGCTCTCTGGACCCCTCTGGTGGAGTGTGCAAAAGAGCTCTGGGAGAAGCAACCCTGCACAGTAGAGAGTGTTCAGATTTAATCTAACCAGTGTCCATTATTTCTAGAGCTGTATACCTCCTTAAGGCACCTGCCATCTTCTTTTTGGTTATCCAAGCTTCAGCTTGTCTTGATTCCGCTGCCTGGTCAGAGCCAGTCAAAACTTCACTGTGAAGAGGAGAATGCAAATGCCAAGCCAGACCCCTGGGTGTCTTTCTGACTCAAATAATTAGGGACAGAGAAAAAGGTGTACCTAACAGGACTGTGCACCTGGGATTCTTAGGCTGGAAACTACATCTGAGCCTGGGATACATTAGGGAAGACCCAGGGTGCAAAGAGCCACCCATGATGTCTAGCCTTACTGTTCTCAGCCTTCAGAAGGAGGGGCTTGGTTAGATATCCATCATGGTACCTGGTCTCAAGGTCCTTACTGGATTCCCCATCCCGCCTTGCTCCATGACTTTTGCCCGCTTCTCTGCTTCTATAATGATAGATTCCAGGGCCAATGCAGGCTGGCAGCCAGCTGCTTCTCCATTTGAATGAAAAGCTGCTTCTCTAGGCAGTGTTTCTCTCTGGTCTTCCTTGCTGCCAGAATGGTGACTCTGCTCATTTGCCTTATGGGAAGGAAATGTGGATGCAGGCCTTTCTCTAGGCTGATCCATTTGCATGGGGTTGGTACAACCAAGGGCATGGTATATGGAATGTATTTTATATTACATATACAATTGTGACAAAACCATATCTACACTGTAATCAATGGACTTCCAGTTTACTTTATTCTATTCTACTTTCATTTAAAAAATGGTGGCCACAAGCTACTAAAGGATTATTACCTACAACTTGAAAAACACTGATTTGGAGCACAAAGAAGCTGGGCACGATGATACATGCTTATACTCGTAGCACTCTGGAAGCTGAGGTAGGAGGGTCCTAAGTCAGCTCAGCCTGGGGGGACTTAAGAACTTTAGTGAGACCCTGTGTCAAAATATAAACAAGGGCCGAGGATGTAGTTCAGTACAAAGGCCCTGAGTTCAATCTCCAAAACTGCAAATAAGCCAACAAACCAACCAACTAGAAAGAACATAAACATTCCATGATACAATTCTGATATGGTCTGGAGGATAAAGCTGCATCAAATTGTAAATGACTATGGTCTTAATGCAGTAAGGTGTTCTGGGAGAAAGAAGACAGTGGGGATGTGGGAGAAGGGCCTGCAAGCTGCACAACATTTACGGATACAGCAAGGCTGGGACACAGATCAGTGGTAGATAGTTGCCTAGTACATGCAAGGCCCTGGGTTCTATCCCCAGCACTAGAACGAAAAAGGTGGGAAATATGACAAAATGTGAAAGCACTGACCACGTTGCTTTAGTAAATGGAGAAAAATCATCTCAGGGTTGCTAGGAACACAAGTAAGATCAGGCTGCAAGATGTCCTGGAAGACCTTTTTAAACAAAATAGTTTGCCAGTCCTCTGATAAATTACTAATGTCAATCACCTGGAGCTGTGCCACGAAAGGTGATGTTTAGGATGGGAAGGAGGCCCTACCTCCACTGCTTTCCTAGGACGGAAGAGACTGGTCTCCTACTGGGTGTTGGGGCTCTGCAAAAAATTTGTCTGTTCTCAAAAAGAAGTCTGTTTTCTACAGTGAGAGCAGGGAGCTTAGAGAGGGAGGCAGGGGCATCCTGAATGACTCAGAACAAGGCTAGGATCCTACGACCCAGCTGATGAGGTCCATAAGGAAATGGGCAGAGGGTCACCTTATCTCTTCTTCACCCAAAAGAGGAGAGGAGCCAGATATGGGGCAGATGTCTATAATCTGAAAAGCAGAAGGATCATGAGTTCAAGACCAGCCTGGTGTACCTACCAGGTTCTAAGCCAGCGTGGACTACTCAGCAGGCCCCTCCCCCCAAACATGGGAGACAGTTTGTGGGGTAAGGGAGGTAGGTTAAGGGATTAAAAATGACTGATACACAATACACTAATTTCCCCAAAATGAATGCAGCTATTATGTATTTCATATATGCACTGATTAACAAAACACCAAGAGGCTTCTAGTTCGTGGTCAACCTAGTCACAGCACCTTCCCATGCCAAGTATCCACTCCAGTTCCTCTGTAAGTACATTCCTTCTCCTGCCAACACTGTGGACACCTCTGGGGTGGAGGTGAGGGTTGAGAGCATCCTTCAGCAGCTGAGAGGCCAAGCCCAGCTAGGTAGGGTCCTGTGGGCTGGAGGAAGGACACTGTGGTGGCTGGTCTGGGTGGTAGAGGAGCCGGTGAAGCAGGGTGCGAGCTGCACAGAGGTCATCAGGATCTGATGAGAGAAAGGAACGAGTGAGAGGCTGTGGGTTCCTGGGTGCCTCGCCCCTGGCTTTCCCAGGACTCACCCACGCCCAGCTCCTGTAGCAGGCTATGGTACTCAGGTTCAGCCTCTAACACCTTCAGCAGATTGCTGGACTCCATCCGCTCTAGTTGCACCTCCCAGTACACGTAGATCTTCTGGTTGAAGGTGACATACACGAGGCAGGGGCTGTTGTGGCCCTCTTTGCAGGCATACAGGCCTGGGATACAAGGACAATGAGACAAGCTTAAGTTCCTCTGGTGGGGGCAAGAACAAGACCCAGATATCAGAGTCAGAGTTCTGTGCCCCGCCCCATGCTGAGCAACAAACAAAGGTCTACTTTCTATTTCTTCTATGCTGGGAACTCAGTAAATGGGTTAGGCCAGGAAAATCTCGGACCCACCAAGATATGAAAAAACTGTAGTGAAAAACTAGGCACAGAACAGTATCTAAAAGGTGGTATTTTTGATTTTCCCATTCTAGTTTTATCCTGGATTCTTGCGGGACAGCCCTGCCCGTCCAAAGTGTTGGCCAGCAAAATATGGCCAGAAAGGGAGGTTTCTCTTGGGTTTCCACCCTTCATTTCTTTTTTTGGTACCAGGGATTGAACTCAGACCCTTGCCCTTGCCCTTGTGAGGCAGGCACCAGAACCACTGTGCTAAGTCTCCAGTCTACCACCTTTCATGTCAGCTTTTCAGGTCACTGATGTGTGTCTTCTGGAGACAGGCCCAGCTCCTATCATCCTGTTTGTTCATTTTTTGTGGTGCTGGAGATTGAACCATCACCTCATGTATTTGGTTCTCCATCACTGACGCATGCACAGATCTTCATTATTTTGGTACCACACATATCCCTTGCTTGCCCAAAAAAGTTGGTGCTGTTTTCCAAGGTTTTCAATTTGGAACTGAGAATGCTCTAGGAGAATTTTTCTCAGAGCTCTAGCACACTCAGATGAAAAAGAACTCTAATGTCTTTTCACATCCCAGATACAGAGTGAGAATGAATCCCATTCTTTAAAATAGTCAGAGATATCTTAATTTCTCTTATTTAAAACTTTCACAGGCCAGGCGTGGTGGCGCATGCCCATAATCCTAGCACTCGGGAGGCTGAGGCAGGAGGACTGCTGTGAGTTTAAGACCAGCCTGGGCTACACAGTGAGTTTCAGATCAGTCTCAACTATATAGTGAGACCCTGTCTCAAAAAACCAAAAAACCAAAAAACAAAAAAACAAAAGAACTGTCACAGTGGTGATGGAGTACCTGCCTATCGACAGTTAGTGAGAGAGCTAAATAAAGCACTTATTCATTTATGAAGATTTCCACTTGTGGCTATGTCCATCATGAATAGAAAGGAAAGCCGGGCGTGATGGCACATGCCTGTAATTACAGCATTCGGGAGGCTGAGGCAGGAGGATCTCTGTGAGTTTGAGACCAGCCTGGATTACATAGTGAGTTCCAGGTCAGTCTCAACTACATAGTGAGACCCTGTCTCAAAAAACCAAAACAAACAAACAAACAAACAACGAGTAGAAAGGAGAGGCAAACATTTCTGTAGTACCTCTCGTGCCACTATCTAATATGTGTGCCCAGAGAGGGACTGAGGGGAGGATCACACCTGCACAGAAGGCGCGGATATTTTCATCCACCTGGAAGCGGACAACAGTACGGTTGTGATCGATGATATATGTCTGTCCATCCCAGGCACACGCAACCACCTCCTCACGTCCATTACCCTGGCGGGGTGGTTCAGAGACAAGGAAACAGGAATGGCCAGGGGTGCTTTAGCAAGACACCTACGGCAGAGGCTGGAAAGGCTATAAAGGACACAAACTTGACTCTGGGTGGCAGACTGTGAGCTGGGAAAGAGCTGTGCCCACCCAACAGGGCAGTCAAAAGAGCCACCTTTCATAATGCCGTGGAACAGGCAGCCTTATTCACAACTTTATTCTGAGGAAATTTGAGCTGCAAGCTTTCAGCTTTCTGAAAGCAAGTCATTCATTCAGCGGGGACCCAATCCCTGTTCCCCCTTGCCTGGTCTCCGTGATTGACATGAGAGGAGCTACAGGAAGGCTTAGAGGAATGTCAGTGGCTGACAGCAGATGGATGTGAGTGGCTGGATGCAGCATTCATCTCGGTGTAGAAGGCACAAGTGCTCCATCCCACCCACACCCACTCACTGTGACATCTAACTTCTCCAAGGCGAACAGCTGGTGATCCACCTGCACTGACCACAGCAGCTTGTCTGCTTCCTCCATGAGCTTCAGTGTCCCTGTGGAGACAGATGGCCTGGAATAGATGAGCCAATCAATCCCCGAGAAGATCCCACTGGCACAGTCCTTTGCCCTTGCCCAGCTCAGCTTTGCTTACCATCCAGGGTGCAGAGGGCAAAGAGGTCAGAGCTACCACTCTCAGGGTTGTGGCCTGCGGTTGGGATGGAACAATGTGAAGGGCAGAGCAAGCAAAACCTGTCTCTAGGATGAAGGCAGCCCCCTCAGGGAGGGAAGGACCATCTAGAAGCAAGGGCAAGGCACTGGATCTCTTTCCTCCTCTCCTCAGTGCTCTCCCTCCCACTCCACCTTCACCTTGTTTGATGTTGCCTATCAGGTGAGTAGAGACGTTCTTGTTGTGGATTCGGCCGGAGGTCTGGCGCAGCACTACATCTCGGGCAGCTGCGGGCTCTCTGTGAGGAGGCGGGGCAGGGGGTAGGCTGTGTGGGGCCATATGAGATGAGTTCTCCAGGCCCTTGGTGGCTTCTATCCCCGTAAGAGCAAGAGAGATTGACCTGCCAGGCAGAAACCTTGAGCCTCTTTCAGATGCTGCAAAATTAAAGCTCAGGATTCCCTGGGTACCCAAATGATCTTCTGTAATGGAAGACGAAGGTCTGTCAGCTGCAGACTGTCTTCCTACCATGTGTCCTTGGGAAGCCCGTTTTTGCTTCCATGCACCCACACACTTTGCAGTCCTGTACCCTCTTACCTACTCCCTTCCATGTCCTCCTCAGAGGCAGGGGATGATCCAGTGTCCTTGTTCCAGGTGCACAGAAGAACTGCGTAAGCACAGCCCGGCTGAGATACCATCAGTTCAGGAACACCCAGCGGTCCTGGGGTCACTGAGAGACTGTCCACCTGTACTAGGGAATGGGGTTTCAGTGGGGATGGAGCAAGGAGGGGTGAGGCCTGACAGGAAGAGGGGATATAGTTGGAAAGGGCTCCTGGGAATAGCTATCCAGTGCTGGCGGCACAGGAGGAAGGACTGTGGAGTCTGGAGAATCCTTCCCTCTACCCACTCCTTCTGCTTTCCACTATAAATGCCCTACTGGGTCTCCATCCTGACGGGATCCATACCACATTTACTGAATACTCTTATTTCTCAACCCAATACTCTTTTTTGTTTGTTTGTTTTTTTGAGACAGGGTCTCACTATGTAGTTGTGTTGAAACTGACCTGGAACTCACTATGTAGCCCAGGCTGGTCTTGAACTCACAGCTATCCTCCTGCCTCAGCCTCCTCAGTGCTGGGATACAGGGGTGCACCACCATGCCTGGCACTTCAACCCAATGTTCTTTGCTTTTTACCCGTTATTAGACTTTCTGTGAAGATCTTGTTTGGAGATGATAATTTTTGGGTCTTTCTCAGCAAATGATTTTCCCTTTGTCCCTGTCCCTTGCCCTGACCCTGTCCCATGAATGTTCTCCCATAGGACCCCTCCAGAATGCCTTGCTCTCTGCCTCCTGGGTTCCTAGTTTCCTTAACTCAGCCTCTCACCTGGCCCTCCAGCATCCACTTCTTGAGGGATACCAGCTGTCCTGTCAGGTGTCCAGTACCCTCAGATAGTTCTTCCCAGCGGAAGGCGCGCACCACACGGTCTGTGTGTCCTACCACCAGTTCACAACACCCATCACCGTCTGCAGACACAGAGAATAAGCTGCAATTGGAGCCAAATCTGGACTGGTCAGCTTGAGCACTACAAGCACCTTCCTCTCTTCTGCCACTGTCATTGCTGCTGGCACTTTTATCTGGTGCAACATCATGTCCAACTTTTTGTACTACTCATGCCCACTGTAGCTGCTGCCTCCCAACCTTTCCTTGTGCTCATGTAGCTCCCTGTGTCCCTGTCCTGGAGCCTCACTCTGTGTACAATCCTATTATATGCTCCGATGTCCTGATTCATCCCATGCACCTCCCACTTTCAGACAGCTTCTGGTCTGGAAAGCTCATTCTCTTGCCACTTTCAATTGCCTACCAAATGCCACCTTCTCAGCAAGGACATCCTTGACAGCTCCACTTAAAACTGTGACCTCTACCTTGATAAAGCCAGAACCATTTCTATGACTTATTTTCTCTGCAGCATTTATTACTTTCTAATATACCACTTAAATTTATTTTTTGCTGTGATGCAGATGGAGCTCAGAGCTTCATGCATGTTAGGCAAGTATTCTACAACTGAGCAACAGGCCCAGCCCAACTATTTAATTTTCTTACAAATTTGTTTTTCTTTCTATAGTAGAGTCTAGAAAGCAGTTATTTTTGTCTGTTTCATTCATTAGTATAATTCTAGTGCCTAAAACAACACCTGGCCCACAATGAGAGCTCAGTAACTTGGCCTTAAATACATAACAAATGTGTTAATGAATAAGGACCCCTTCCCTCACACTAATCCTTGAGATCTGTCCTAACACCCACTGGCTCTATGGCCTTGGTTGCCTGCAAAGCAAACTATGCTCACCAATGTCACTGATCAGCATGACCTTGGTGTTGGCTGGGATGTGCTGCTTGAAGACTGGACGCTGCTCCTCTCCCACCAGTGTTTCATGGTGTCCAGAGGCATCCAGGACCTTGGCAGGTGTCAGGTCAAACAAATGAAACCAGCCTTCAGCGCTCACTGCTACCACCAGGTTCTGGGAGAAAGAAGAAAGACAGGTACAGGAGAGACGGACTGGCCTAGAGAGGGAGGTCGGGGTGCAAGGATGATAATTACATCTCAGGGGTCAGGGCTGGCTTTCTCTGCGATAGGGAGGAGAGCAGGCCATGGAATTATATCAGAGCCCATTCCATAGAGTACTTTACCTTTCCTTTATTACACACATCTCCAACTCCAACACAAGTCAACTGCAAGAGAGAAAAGTAGGCTCAGGGAGGCAACAGTAAGAACAGTCTTCTCTAATCCCTATGAAGCATGATGGAGTGAGTTTCTTAACTATCATCATTTACTGAAAGCTTATCATGTGACATCCATCAACAGTTTTTACCAACCCAATTATTGTGCTATAAGTTCAGTTTACCCAGACAACAATATGAAAATCTGAGACAGGCTAGATACTTTGGGCTTAAAACAAAAACCTTACATCTTAGATAGCTAGACTACCATATTTCTAAACGGATTCCAATTATTACTCCCCATTTTGACCATACCACCATGTGCTCCATAACAATGTTTCAGTCAACAACAAACAACACGTATGATGGTGGTCACCTAAGACCGCATCACCTGGTCCTGCAGTAGTTTATGTGCATACTCTATGATGTTCTCATAGGGAGAAAGAGCCTAACTATTCCTTGGAAGAGGTCCCTGCTCTGACGTGACACGTGGCTATACTTTATGGGGTCAGCTTCACTCAGCTTTTATAAAGCAGCAAGGGTCCCCACAGCATAAAGCATAGTCTTGCATGCGGGGGATAGGGAGGAGGAGATGTGAGAGCTTGGCTTGTGTCAAATAAGTTCCAAGCACGGCTGGGCTGAACAGCTGGGAGGTCAGAATAAACTGGGGAGCTCTGGGGTGGGCCTCTCCTTCACAGTGCCTGCTCTAAAGGGATCCTTCCCCCACCTTCCCCTCAAAACCCAGGGAGGTGAGTACTGACCATCCCCTGGCAGGTGCAGGTGAGCCACGGCCGGCTGTCATCATTTTTATACACAGAGAGCTTTCCACTGGTGTCTCCGACAACCAGTTCATTTAACTTCAAAGAGAGAGAAGAATGTTAGTGAAACAGTTCATTTTGTGTAAACCTAAGCTTTTTTTTTGAGACATGGGCTCCGTGTATAGCCCAAGCTGGCCTTGAATTTGCAGTAATCCTCCTACCTCAGCTTCCCAAGTGCTGGGATCACAGGTGGCATGCCTGAGCTCTTTCTCAAATGGTTGAAGAATAAAACCATGGACAAAAGGAAGAAGTTAGGGGAGTGTTCATTAAAAATAATAATTAGAAAAAAAGGTTCTTGGTAGATACTCACCAAGAGGGAACAGAAGTCTAACATTCAATGTGTTTTCTTGGTCTTGGCCTTATATAGATAGGCAGAGCCTTGGGGACTCATTTTAAACAAGTGGCTTTGGATTTAGGGTTTGAAAGAAATTACTTACCTGGTTCTGGCTATCTGGTTGAAGCAAGTTAGAAGGAAACTGGTTATTCTGCATTTCTAACATTTTCTAAGACCAGTCCAGAGATTAGGGAGGAGCTATCAACTAACTTAGCATGTCTTTATCCTGGGAGGAGAGGTCCTTACCTCTCTCTCTCTTTTGTTTATTTTTGGTAACAGACCTTGTGCTTGCATGGCAGGTGCTGTGTCACTAATTTTACATTTCTAAGCTTGACCAGCTGCTTGATTAACCAGCTGCTTGAATTAGACTGCTCTACCTGCCTACTCATAACAATTAAACTACACTACCTCAGGCTGGGACTCTGACAAATCTTTTGAGAAAACTTCTTGGAATGTAGCTCAGTGGCTGCCTAGCACGCACTAGGCCCTGGGTTCCATCCTCAGCATCCCCCAATTTTTTGAGGGAGATGTGTGACCAACATAGCCAGTTTCCCAGAATTTAGAGGTACGGGTGTGTGTGTGTGTGTGTGTGTGTGTGTGTGTGTGTGTGTGTGTGTGTGTGTTTGTGTGTGTGTGTGTGTGTGTGTGTGTGTGTGTGTGTGTGTGTGTGTGTGTGTGTGTTGTGGGGTAGAAGGTAGAGGAATGGAGGCTATGTAGGATCTGATCCATCCAAGAAAAGTCTGACTCTTGAATAGCTCTCTGCCCCAAATACCTGACTGGCTCTTCTAAGTCAGACTTTCCATTTAACCAGGACCAAATAACCAAATAAAAAGGCCAGCTCCCAAGGCCCTCCCTCTTTCAGCAAGGCCTTTAAAGCCTGATGTGTGTTTAACAAGGAAGATGACTGAGGAAGGAAGCCTGAAGGCATCACTCACTGGGGTCAACATTCTGGCTTTGGGCCTCTGTTTCCCTCAACTGTTGGAGAGGCTCTGAGGAGAGCGGACTCCCTGAATGAAGCCTCTTATCCACCACTGCCACCTGGGGAGTCACGCTTTTAGGGGCTGATCATGATAACCAAGTTGATCCAAACCCTGTTTCTACAAACAGTTTTGAGGTAGGATAAAAGAAATAAAAGAGGTAGAAAGGAGACAGGAAATTATAACTAAAAACCATACTTTGTAAGAAGACTACAACTTCCAGGACTTGGGCAAAGTCACCTGAGACAGCCCCACGCCAACATTCCTTGGCTAGATTTACATCTCTTCCCCTACTAGACCCATTGCTAAAAGGCTATAAATTGCCTCAACTGAGAAAGTAAGTATAGGATCTTGGCTGTGAGGATAAGGCCTGTCTCAGTGTTAAAATAAGGCTGTCTCTGTCAACAGTCCTTGGCCAGATTTACACTCCTCTACCAAACCCATTACTAGAAGGCCATAAATTGGCTCAATTAAGAGAGTAAACAAAAGGTTGAGTGAACCCCAAGAATGTTTAAATCACCTACTCAAAAATGAAAAACAAATGAAAATTAAACAAAAACCCCAAAACAATGTCTGCTAGGGGCCTGGGGATTTAGCTTAGTGGTGCCATGCCTGCCTTGCAAGCACAAGGTCCTAAGTTTGATCTCTGGTACCAGAAAAACAAACAACAACAACAAAATGTCTGCTAATTGGCTTGTACCCTTTTGTGGGAGAAGAGGAATGGGTGGACACTTTCCCCCCCGTCTCAAAAAAGGTACAGGGCTGGAGATTTAGCTCAGTGTTTCCACCACCTGCTTTGTAAGAGCAAGGTCCAGTTCAATCTCT